TACAGACACGGTGAGACGGGTTAGGGGGCTCCTTCTACACAGGAGCCTTAGTAACGTCCGACAAATTTTACCCTGTGTTTCCTGGAGTTTCTCGGGGACTGTATTTCTCCTCCCATTGAGTGAGACATTTAGTAATGGGGCAAGTGCAGGCCTGAAACCTGGCCCAGGGCAGGAGGCTGTGGAAGAGAGGGGCTGAGGAACCCCAAATGCCCCCCCAGTGGTCTGCTCTTGACCCCCTGGGATGCCATCTGGCCCTGTCTCGTTCCTCTTCAGTCCCCCAGGCCTCACACCTGCTGCTCTGTCCCTTCCGATGGGTGACACCCCGGCAGAGCAGCCCCGAGGCTGAAGATGCATGGTTTGTGGGGGTCCTTGCTTTGCCACAGGCTTCCTACGTGGTCCTGGCCAAGGGGTTTGTCGCCCCGTTTTCTCACCTGCTGAGGACAGCTGGTTATTGCAAAAAACACTCTTGGGTCACTCTCTGATCTCTCTTTCAGACATGGTGGCAGTCCTCGGGGAGACCACAGGCTGCCTTGCCCTGCCCAACCTGCGAGACAAGATGAAACACCACCCTGAAGGTTACCGCATCCTCCAGTGCGTCCCTCCACATCCCTCCCTCACCGTGTGGTTCATGGTGGGGAGGGAGACACAAAGCCAAGCACATTCCTTAGACCCTGTGAAGGCAGACCCCTGAGCTCCCCAGGTTGAAAACAACACGAGCGTTTTGTTGGCTCTGACCCTGCATGTTGTTTATTTTACTTTCTTTTTCACAATTTATTTATCACAAGAGCCCTGTAGCAAGTCTAAGGACAAGAGCATGGCAGCCGCTGGGCCCAGCTCTATTTCAGGTGCTGCTGTCTGTCCGTTCTGCTTCGCTGCTGGAACTGGCAGGTGCCAAAGCAAGGAAATGCAGCAGCAGCCGCAGGGAGAAATCCACGGACGTGGTGGGTTTTCATTGCTGCTCAGCGATGGGTGAAAACCCACCACGTCCATGAATTTCTCCCCTGCGCCTGCTGCTGCATCTCCTTGCGTCTCCACTGTCTGCCTCTTCCATAGGCACCTCGTGTTTTCTTTCCAGCACCCGCAGCATTTCCACAAGCTGTGAAATGAGGCCGCTTCTTTCGCCTTCCCTGTTAAAACTTTGATCGCTTTTGCTTCCGTGTCTGCAGGGACTTGTCGAGTGTTGGAAGGCTGAGGACCAGGAGGGACTTCATGAGTCTCTTATTAACCAAAATCTTATTGCTTACCTATTTGCTTACCTTCTCCCCGCACCTCCTTACGTGTCACGCCTGCCGGTTGTGTATTGTTTGGGTTGTGCCACGTAGGGGCTGTGGAAAAGCTGTCTTTTGCCCTACGTTTGTGCTGAACAGCCTGATCCTGGCTCCGGATGCTCAGACTGGGGTGCATGGGAAGAATTTATCCTGTGCGTGGAAATAAAAGGGCTTTCGTTTAATTCCAGGGCTGTGGGGCACCGGTTTGCCAACAGCCTGGAGCGGAGACCTTTCCATGTGTGGCTGCCACGTGGCTGGTGGCAAAAGCCTGAGAAGGAGAGAAATTAAGCCTCTGTTTAGAACAAATTCACTCCCACTTCTAGGGTTGTTCCTTTAAAGCTCTGGCTGCTTTGCAGGGTGCTAAAGAGCTCTGCCCCCCTGGGGCTGTCCCTGCAGTGAGCAGCCAGGATCTGCACAAGGAAAATGCCCAGGAAGGGTAGAGACAGGGGTGGGTGTTAGAGGCAGGGGTGAGAATTTCCAGGGGCTCCTTTGCCCCAGGACCCCCCGCTGTGGGGTTCACTGAGACTCTCACTGACCTGCGTTTGGCTTTCAGGGAACGGCCTCGCATCCGCCTCTCCACCCTGGACATGACCAGGCTGCAGGGGCTGCCGGATGGCACACTGGGCCGAGAGTACGTCCGGTTCTTGGTGGACAACGTGAGTGTGGGGCTTTGCAGAGTGCGAGCAGCTGTCATTGATCCCTGTGCTGGAGTATGGATACACTTTAGAGGCAGATTGGAGCCATGGAGGCACCTGTGGGAACCCTCTGAGAATGAGAGGGAGTCGGGGGGATGGGATGAATGCTGGATGCGTCACCAGTGCTTGGTTTTCATCTATATAAATGACACTGACCCCCATCATCAGGGAGACGTGCTGATGGAGGGGACCATGTATTGCTGTGCATTAAAGAATGAGGCCAGAAACTTTGGAGGGGGTTGAACTTGGCCTCTTTGGATTTGCAGAAGGTTTCTCCGGACACCCGGATGCCGGCCAGATTTGTTGATGATGAAGAGCTGGCATATGTGATCCAGCGGTACCGAGAAGTCCACGACCTGATGCACACCCTGCTGGGCATGCCAACCAACATGCTAGGTGAGCAGCAGTGGGCTCAGGGGGCTGTGCTGCCGAACCCCACAGATGATGCTTGGTCACTTCTCCCAGGAACGGAGCAGGCTGGGCCAGTCAGACTCAGCCTTCAGCCCTGGGAGGTGTGTGGGGAGGTTTGCATCATGGCTGGCCCGCGTCGCTGGCTCCGTGGTGACCGAGAGCCCACGGGATGTCACCTCTCCCCTGCTGCGAGGTGCTCTGCCTGAGCCCTGGGTGCAGGCAGCGGCTGGGTGGATGTTTGGTGCCTGGGAGGGAGGGTGATACTGAGGGAAGGATGTTGGGCAAGCTCTGAGTGATGGCAGAAGTGGAGGGGTACCTGGTTGCTCCTTACCTGTGTGTCCCCATGTCCTTTGCCCTCATTTCGTGTCTGACTCAATAGCAAGTGCAAGTTGAGCCTTGCTGGGGAGCCTGCGGGAACCAGCCTGTCAGGTCTCCTGTGTGGGCTTTGGCTGGGCCCTGGCAGATCTGTAAAAGGTCTGTTCCGTGCCAAGAGACAGGGAGAGTCATGCAGGGGATCTGGCTTTGGCAATTGCATTGCTAAAGATCTGCAGGGAGCTGGCCTGCCTGGGAGGTGTTTCCAAAGCTCATGGGGCATCAACTGTGGGGTGCTGCTCCCTGGGGGATCTCAGGTTGTCCTCTGGGGTGGGTGGTGCACGACGAGGCTCATCCTGGTCCAGGATGAGGCCATGGCCAGACTTGGGAAGCTTTCGTCAGTCCTGACATGGAGGTGGAGGGGATGGGTGTGTAACCGTCCTTAGGAAGGGGCAGATCGTGCAGCCTGCGTTGCAGGACCACGTGGCTCTGGCTGGCCCTCGACCTGCCCACTCATGGCCTCCCTTCTTCCTCCCAGGCGAGGTGGTGGTGAAGTGGTTCGAAGCCGTCCAGACGGGGCTGCCCATGTGTGTCCTGGGAGCAGCGTTTGGCCCTGTCCGTCTCAGCGCACGGTAGGCACCATCCAATGAGGACAGTGCCCTGAGGATGTGCCAGTCTGGTGGTGCTTGCTGTGGGTCTCTGGGGACAAAGTGAGGACACTGCTAGTTGGCAGGGGGGAGAATGAGATGAAGATAGTGCAAACCATCTGCTGTGCTGCCATGGCACGGGGAAGTGATGTTTTCTTCTGTGCCTCAGTTTCCCCTGTGAGATAAGAAAGAGAGATGCTAGAAAAGGTGGAGGGGTACATGGGACACATGGGTTTGGCATCAGCCTGCAATGGGGTCTTGGAGAAGGAAATCAAAAACAAAACATGGAAATCAAAACTGTCTCCTCCTGTAACATTTGTTCCAGAAAGCTCCAGGTCCTGGCCACCGAGCTGGTCCCCTGGGCAGTTCGGAGCGGGCTCAATGCCAGCTGTATCCTGAACGTCTACTATGAGCAGCGCTGGGAGCAGCCAGTGGAGTCCCTGCGGGAGGAGATTGGCATCTTCCCTCCCCCCAGCATTCGAGTGTGAGGTACAAGGAGGGGACAGGGGATCCCCGCTGGCTGACAGCAGCCGTCCCCTGCCATGCTCCATCTCCTCCTGCCCGGGAGCACTGCTTGGCTCTGCCACCAGCCACCACGGACCCTGGGGCTGAGTCCTCTTCTCCAAGAGCTGGCACCCTCCTGTTGATAGAGGCCAAGCGGCACCACCCTTTGCCATGACAGATCTTGACCCTTGTTGCTGTTTGTGATTTGGCAGAGGGATGGCAGGGCCCTTTGCCAGCTGGGTCTGGCTGCTCGGGTCTCCCTGGCAGCAGCGCTCCAGTACTGATGCTCCGAAGTGTTCGGCTGGGGGAGGTAGCAGCGCTGGTTTACACCACACCACAGTAAACCACTGTCTTGGTCTTCTGCA